CTCATCGAGCTCGCGAGCTGCTGCCGCCAATCATCCAGCTCGCTTGACAGGTTCTCGAATGCGATCGCATTCTCCGAGCTCGACGTGCTGACTCTACGCTCCGAGATGCCCGATATTGGTCGCCCCGACCCAAAGCTCGGCTGGTCCACTTCGAGGAGCAAACCGATTTTATGAGACAGCTGCTCATTTTCGCGTTTAAGAGTTGTGTTCTCGTTGCTGAGCTGCTCCAGCAGAGTCTCGTCGTGGCCGCCGCGGGCGATGATCAATGACTTCTGCAGACGTTCGATGTCCTGTTCAAGCTCCTCAATGCGGAGCTGTCGTTCATCGGCTTCTCGTTGAGAGGCAATGACACCGTCGCGCATGTGTTCGAGATCACTTTCCAAAGACTCGATACGCAGACGGAGGTCACGGTTATCACCGTTAAGCCGCTGCACTTGTCGCTGGGCGTCGCTGAGTTGGTTACGAAGAATTTCGTTGCCGTGACTGTCATCGGAGGACGGTGTGCCACGACCGTTGATCGCGCGGATACGAGAGCCCCCATCAATACTGGCGGACCGGTCCAACTCGCCCTGCATGCTCTGGTTCAGTGTCTTTTGTTTCGTCAACTCGTCCTTCATCTTGCGCATCATCTTTTCCGTGCCCCTAGTATCACCATTCCTGTGAGTATGGGCACAAAAAGGTGGTCACATACCCAGACCACTTACTTTACATAATGGACTGCCAGCTGATAGTCGTCCTCGAGCTGCTGCAGGCGTGCCTTGTAACTCTGCTCGACTTCCTCGAGTTTGCGCTCAAGTTCTTGGATACGGCTATCGCGGTCACCCTCGACAGTGTTGCGCCTGGAGGGAGATTGCATGCGGTCGAGTTCAGCCGACAAGCTCTCAACTCGAGCTTCGGCATCGCGTTTCTCTTGTAGAGCAAGCTGAAGTTCGCGCTCCGCCCTCTCATGCATGCGGCTACGAGTAGCGAGCTGCTCTTCGAGTTGGTTGATGCGAGGCGATGAAGGAGTAGCGCCATTGCGCACACTGTCTTCTCCTTCAACCATTCCGTTCTCGGCAAGGACTTTGTGGAGCATGTCGAGCTTGACGGTGGTGTTCGACAAATCTTTCGTTTTCTCGCGTAGTCCGGCGTCTTTAACAGCCAAGTCTTTGCGAAGACGACCGCTATCGGCAAGGGCGCTGGAAAGCTGGGTACGAAGGCCAACAATTTGAGAACGAAGAGCCAAGTTGTCGATTTCGAGGTCGTGCAGCTTGTAGCGTTCAGACTTGAGCTCAGACTGAGCATCCTCCGTGCGGCGCGTGGCGTCACTGAGCATACCGCGTAACGATGATACTTCGCCCTCGAGTGCTGTGAGCTTCTCTGCGTGGCCGCGAGTGAGACGGTCCTCGTCGGTCTGAAGATCGCGGTGGGAATCCAACAGCTTTCCAAGACTACCGGTAGTTAAGGCACGGAAAGCGTCGGCCTCCTCTCTTGACTTCGCCCATGAGTTTTCTGCATCGGCAAGGCGTATCCGAACCGTCTCGACCTCAGTTGTGCGGGCTTCGAGCTCGCCGCGGAGTTCGATGAGGTCAGTTTCCAGCTGAGAAATCTGGTCGCGGGAGCGCTCGTACTGCTTCTCAAGCTCGTTGGCACGGGCAGACGAGGCATTGACGGCATGCTGCGCCTGTTCTAGTGCACGAACGTGCTGCTCACGAGTACGTGTGAGCTCTTCCAGCTGCGTCTGCGCATGAATATAGTCCGCCTCGCGTTGCTCGAACTGAGACTTGTGCGCAAGAAGCTGATCAGCTTGCTCGCGAGTGGTGGACTCCATGATATCACAGCGGTCACGGAGAACTTGCTGATCCTGGAGAGCCTTCGCATGCGATTCGGCGAGCATACCAGCGCTCTTCGAGCTATCTTCGGACCTGGCCTCAGCCTGCTCCAGTAGGGTCGTCTGCAGGACAAGCGAATCCTCGAGTTCCTTGATGCGACGATCACGATCTGCTTGCGCAAAGGAAACGCTCGCGACTTGGCGCTCCAGGTCGGCGATACGCTCCCGCTCAAGACGCGAAACATCTCGATCTGAAGACGATTCAAGGGCCGCAAGCTTTGCGCGGTAGAACGCCGCCTCCTGAACAGCATTCTGCCGCATACGCTCAGCCTCTTCCAGTCGCTGTGACGATTGTTTCGCTTGTTCAACAACTGAAGCCTTCAGTCCAAGCGTCAGCTGTGTGTGAGAGGAAAAGAAGACAAGACGCACCTGAATCTTTGCCTTGAAATGTTTGAGGCTCATGACCATCTCCGCTACCTTGCGTGTATCAATATCGTCGTCATCAGCGTTAGACTCAAGATCTTCTCCTTCAGGGTACACGAAGCCTGATCGCGATGCCTTGGTTAGTGCTGCCTTCATCCATGTCTCGCGCTTCTTCATGGCCTCAACCTCCGCCTGGCTCTCCCGAGCAGGGTCCGGTGCGGCGGCTGCAGCTTTCGTAAAGCCATTGAGGGAAGGCGAATCTGCCTTGTGACTGACGTAACCGCCGTCGAGAGACAACTTGCCCCGCTCAGGGGCGACTGGTGACTGACTTCGCACCGCATCGTTGATACCCTTGGCTACACCGACTATGCTCATTGATTGGTCGTAGGGCTCTGTGACCTGAGAAACAGGTGACATGGCACGGTTTGAGCTGAATGTGTTTGGGCTCTTAGCGCGGGCTTGGTCAGGGGATATAGCTCGCTCGGCTGCAGTCGCAAATTCCGGACTGCTGTCTTCGTCGTAATCCTCATCCTCTTCTCTCGTAGGCCGCAACACCTGCTTGCCTCGCAGGCTATTGCTAATATTTGCCATGGCGCTGCCGTTCTGTTGCGAGCGTATACTGGACGGTGACATCGCCCGGCGGAGTTCTTCAACGTCTGAAGCTGGCTCGCCTATGGGAGACAGTGCCCGAGTGCTGTTTGGGGACTGGCCCTGAGCCTGGACAGAGGCTTTACGGCTGGGAGCTCCTGGGGCGTTAGTAGGCGGGGTTCCGTTGATAGGGTATTTAATATGTTCTAGAGCAGAGAATTACAGCCAGAATATGCCGAGATTGAATGAGTACTCACTCGTATCCAGGACGTGAATGATGGTAGGGTCTTCTGGTTTAGCGGGATTTAGCGACTCCCCGCCCAAACCTCCTAGAACGAATACTCGGGATCCCATGGACGCCATAGCATGGCCCGAACGCGCACTGGGTGCAGGTCCCATCTTCTGGAACATGTACCAACGTTGATCTAAGGGATTGTCAATTTGGTTTATCCACATGAAAAACGATCTGCTACTTACTTGATAGCTTAAAAGCTCCAAGGTCGCCTAGATCCTTGCCGTCAACGCCTCTGCCGCCGAAGATGTAGACGACGTCGTCCACAACCGCCGCAGCATGACCTTCTCTCGGAGAAGGAATGAAGCCAATGCAGGTCAGCTCAGACCACATGCGAGTATTGGTGTCAAAGACCCATGTATCGTTGTAATGGTACTGGCAGTCAGTACCACCAAACCTAACGTTGCAGCGAAGTGTAAGCGCGCTTGCTTTGGAAGTTGGCTTGGCAGAACTTTGATACTGACAATATAACTTTTTCACCATATGAGACGCAAATGTGGCCGGTACGATGTGCAGGTCGGGGAGAGCCCTCTGCGGGCTCCACCTGCTCCCACATAGCCTTCGTCCGTACTAAAAGCGACATTAGTGATTTGACAACACATGGGGCAGGGAGTAAAGCTCACGTGAATTGAGATCGAAAGCCCATAGATCGTTCAGAAACTCTCCGTCTACTTGCCCACCGCACATATAGAACTTGGAGCCGACCATCGTCACAGCATGTCCATACCGGCCCACAGGTGCTGGACCATACACATTTACACGAGTCCATTCGCGGGAGACTGCGACCGTTTAGAAACAGCACCCATGCAGATGCAAGGAACATTGTGCTTACCGAGGTTCAACAGATAAAGCCCATCATCCTGTTTATCCGTGGACTTTGTTTTGCTATTGGTCTTAGTGTCACCACCCCATACGATCAATACACTGCCGACGAGAGCGCTTGCATGGCCTACTCGTGGCGACGGGATTTCCCCCGCTGTCTGCAGTAGCGTCGCCGAGAGGTCCCGAGTCGAGAACAGATAGAGATCGTTGCGAACAGTTTCCCTAACAAGACCGCCAAAGAGGAAGAGCTCTCCAGTAGCAGTAGCAGTAGCAGGTAGCGAGTGACCATATCTTGGGAATGGGGTTGGCGAGGGTGTTCTCAATGGAGTTGATTTTCGCAGACGCTGCCGCGTAGCAGTCGGCATTTGATGTGAAGTCAGCAAGCAAGTCAGCAACTATGCACGTCATGGTCCCTCGCCGGCCTTGAAAGCTGTGCAAACATTGTTACGTATGCTCACAGCCCGAGCAGAGTTGGCTGTTCGAATACCTGGGATCCTCTGTACATGGAATCGAGAAATAGTATTCATATCCTCAGCTTCGGACAGAGGAGCCGGTAGAGAGAGTCTCTGAGGCGGAACACAGGACCAGTCGTGAGAGCAGTGACGGCCATCAGCGTGTTGGGAAGGTACGGCCCAATTTCGATTGGAAGCGCCTTCGCTTGGTCGTCGCTGCCTGGCTTCTCTCTCACTTCGTCCAGGCGGGACCTGCCTCCTCCTCAAACTTGCCGCCTCCAGGCCCGCCATTCTCCTAAACGATCAGCATACCCTCCTCATATAATCCTAATATCGTAAATATAGCCGTCTTCCAACCGTGCAATCACTCCTAGGCGGCAAATCCAGGAGAATGTCCTTCTTCAGCAGGAAGAAGCATGCTGCACAACCCAGCAACCCGCCAGTGATCACTCAGCCCCCTGCACCACAGCCAGCACCTGTGCAGCAGCAGCGATCGATAGCCAACCAGAGCAGTTATGACAGGTCCGTTCTCATTACTCCGGCATGCACGGGGAACCCGCACTCACTTTGTACGGTTTACCACGTAATATAGTGGTCTGAATGGCAGAGGCAGTCCTTCACTTGGCCCCAACGCTCCCATACAGCAACGACAGCAGCAACAACAGCGCGGTGGAAGCCCGAATCAACCTGGAAGCTCGAATGGTTCGGCACAACCGAGCCCATCACAACTGCAGAGCACGTCTCAACCGCTGCAGCAACAACAGCAGGCGACTCAGCAGCCACCGCAAGGCCAGCCTGGCCAATCACAGCAAGCACCACCGCAACAGACACCACCACAGCAACGAGCTGCATACCCTTGGTCACAACGTCGACTGATCCTTCCGCCTCCCGTCATCCTTCCGAAGCCAGGCGCTGCCTCGCCAACAGCCCGTATCCGCTGAGAGAAAGGCGACCAGCACCGTTCCTCTGTAAGTGGTGTCAGCCGCGTCGAGCGTGTGGTCCTATGCAGCGTCAGATGTCACCAGTCTGCTTCCGCGGACACAACCCGACACCGAAGTAGTTGGATGAAGAAGTCGGATTGCTCAAGCAGGTGCCGAGCAAAATAAAGCAGCACTTAGAGATCGTGGCTGAGAATGAACTTGATCAGCCGTCCATATGTTGTTAACAAGCAGAAATGAGCCTACCTTCGGTGTCCTCCTACTCATTCCAAGTGATAATATCCCCGTCATCATCCGTAGCATGAGCAGCGCGGCGATGAGCCATGAGACGATCCCGCGAGGGGAACAGCCTGTTGCACTCGTCTAGAGCACATATGAAAATAGGTGTCCTAGAAACTAGGCCCTAAGGAGATGTGCATCTGTAAAGGACACAAACGAACTCACTCGGATGGGTTAGTGACTCTAGCTACACCGGCGTTGACCTGCTGAGGGGTTGTTGCGACTATGTATGTTAAGACAAATCAGTATATGGGGGCGATGTTGCGGCACGTACCATCTTGAAGGGCAGGAGCCGAAGGCAGCACAGAGGGGAGGCTTGGTTGGACTGCCATCGCAGTTGGCTCGCAAGCGGTACCGCGTGACGTCACAGTCACTTATCCCTCCACACATACACGTACGTGACAGCACGTTACACCGACCTGAACTTAGCACCATGACGGATGGCGAGGCCGCAGACTGCGAGAGCCGTCCCTCGCTATCCTCCCGCCTCAATTTGCTCCTGTTCAGTCTACCGTACCAGAAACCGAAATCCGACGGTTTTGTTCCACTCCGAGCCATCATCGTTGCGGCACTCACTGGACACTATCCGCCGTGAAAACATGCCAGTGAGGTCGGTACGCACTCAGCCGCCTTCTCCCCGGGCTGCGCAGGCCAACGCGAGTCGTACTCTACACAACCGTTCTGCCATGTCTCTTAACTTGAATATACCCTCGGAGAGCTCATGTCCGCAACAGAAACGGCGCGAACATGAAGAGTCGGAGCCTGCCTTTCCAGTACTCCGGTGGTTCTCGGGCAGTGCGAAGCAGTCGGGCATGAAACGCAAGTCATCTCAGTCATCCTTGAGCTCTCGTTCAAGCACACCTCCCATGTATTCAGACTCCCCCGTCGACTCCGCCTCATCGTCTACTTCGCATGTTCTTGCCATAGCAGACGCCTTGGGCGATAACCCGCGTTTCGTACATGCACACTCCCCAACGGTGGACCTACCATTACGGCCAAAGGCAGCACGGCTTCCAGTACCCTCTCAACCATGTCGACCGCCAAGTCACCTCTCGGAGCTATCGCGCTCTGCTCTTCCTACCGCAGGGCTGTCGCCTACGTTTTCTTACGTGCGACCTCCCTACATAGACCCCTTCGATGATCCATTTGCTCCTTCACAGCAAGAACACGAGCCGCAGCTGGATATTTTCTTCAGTCCAACACCTGCCCCCATAGCAATACCTCATTCCCCTGCCCCAGTACACCTCAGCCGTCCACCGCCGAGCATATCACCGTTCTCGACCCGCTCTTCCATTGATGTCCTCCGGTCGATACAAGAGAGAGGTTCCAGGGGAATTCATACAACGCCTCCATCTCAGCGATTACCTTTCCCGGCATTCAAAAACCCATTCCAATGGTTCTCTGGCGACGAGGAGTCTCAGAGGAAGAATACGGACCTGGTTCTGGCCGAAGAAGACGAGTCCAATAACGCTCGATCCCAGGAAGAGCATGTTCAGCATCGTCGTACGTCTTCAGCGACATTAATTTTTGCTTTGTCATTCATTCTGTACAGATGTCAGCCCGAAGAACCCTATCGTATTCTGTCATGGCCTGCTGGGTTTTGATACAGTGACGCTGGGCCCGTCGATAGCACCGCTGCAAGTGGCGCACTGGCGAGGTATCAAGGACGCTTTAGAGGCCAATGGCTGCGAGGTCTTGATCACGCGAGTACCTGCTACGAGCTCGCCTATCGATAGAGCGAAGGTTCTGGAGGAGAAGATCAGCTCAGTGTATGCCGGACGTAGTGTTCATCTCATTGGTATGTCCGTCGCGTGAGGTGCATGTTAGAGTACTTATGTGAACCGCAGGGTTTCGCGCTTTTCAGGTCACAGCATGGTAGGTTTATCATAAATCCGATCTAGTAGAATTGCTACTGACATTTTCCAGGGTGGACTAGATTGTCGCTACCTAGTTACGCACTTGAAGAAACGCAAGTTTAAGATCCTCTCGATAACAACTATTGCCACCCCTCATCGTGGCTCTTCCTTTGCTGACCATTTCCTCAAAACGGTCGGCCAAGAACGTATGCCCTCGGTACTCTCCCTTCTTGACCTGCTACCCAACGGTGGCGGAGACGGCAAGGCATTCGAGTTCCTTACGGTTGGCAATATGCGCAAGTTCAACGAGGATACTTCAGATGTGCCCGGCGTGAAGTACTACAGTTGGGGCGCAACCTACGAACCTGGTTTGATTGATACTTGGAAGTGAGTTCACTCTTCAGTGTTAGAGTAAACTCTATCAAGACTGGGAAAATGTCCTGTAGGTGGTCACACTCCGTGATCTTCGAGAAGGAAGGGCCGAATGACGGACTGGTTTCTCTGAAGTCCGCACGATGGGTATAACCGACTTTACACTTCGGTGCGCGTTCATTGCTGACACCAGGCGTAGGGGACGTATCTTGGCACCCTTGAAGATGTCAATCATCTGGATTTAGTCGGCTGGGTCAACACCGCGCGGTACAAATGGGCCCAGATCATAGGTCGTGAGATCAAGTTCAAACCCGCAACCTTCTACTTAGGAATAGCGGACCACTTGGCACGAGTGGCGGAGGAGCAGGAACATCCGCAGGAACAGATCTCGCCAGGAGAGCGTTATGGGAAGAGTCCAAAGGAGCGTGCAGAGATGGAGGAGATCCGGCAAGAAGGAGAACGAGCCGAGATGGCAGAGAGCTTGGATAAGGCGCAGAAAGATGAGAGCCGAGGACAGTCATCGAAGGTGCTACACAAGCAGGAAAGCTCGCGACAATCTGGCAAGCGCAGCTGAAGATGTGATACATAATGATCGATAGGTGAGCCTGCTACTGTGCGTCCAGAAGATTACACTCAGTTGAGCTGTCTTGAAGGACCTTACAGTAAAGATTAATGTGTACTAATGACTCCATGCCGTGCAGAAGACATCGTATACCACTGTATTAAGGATTAATGAAAGCAGAGCGTGCTGCTTGGTTTCTGTCTCCGGTACGCGTGCGTACACATCGGTCGCCCCACTGGCAGTAGAGGAGTAAGCGCCTGTCGTGAGATCCAGTTTGGCGATTAGATCATGGTTTGCTCGCTAGTTATAAAGGAGGCGGAGCCCTCCAGCTCCTTCATAGCACAGATTGCTCCTTTTACAGCCATGGCACTCGAGAAACTATCCTCCAACAAGTCCTTTGAGGGCGACTTGATTAAGTACAAGTTTAAGGTAATCTCGCTACGATTGCAGACCAAAGCAGCGCTGAGGCGTTCGCTTCAACTAGTCCTCTGCCCTGGGCGACCTCGACACGCAATTCAACCTCTTCCTTCCTGCGAATGCGTCCAAAAGCAAGGTCCCTGTCTTGTTTTACCTCTCTGGTTTGACCTGCACGGAAGATAACGCGTAAGACCTATGCGCCGCATATCACATATACATGCTAATCCGCCACCTGCAAAGCGCGCAGAAGGGCAGCTTCCTCGGACCTGCCGCCCAGGAGGGCGTCGCTATCGTCTTCCCTGACACCTCACCGCGCGGGGCAGGCATCGAGGGGGAAACAGACGTCTGGACCTTTGGTGTCGGTACGTGCCCTCCGGGCAGGAGCGGGCCTCCGGTCATGGGAACAGCCCAGCTTCTCACATCACACACACTTGACCTACACCAGGCGCCGGCTTCTACGTGGACGCGACGAACCCGAAGTATGCGAAACATTACAACATGCTGACTCACGTCACTCTAGAGCTTCCCAAGGTCATCCAGGAGGCCGGTCTCCCTATCGTATGTGCGAGATACCCAGTGCAGCGTGAATAGTTAACGGGTCCCGCGCAGGACTTCTCAAGGCAGTCGATCTTTGGACACTCGATGGGAGGCCATGGTGCGCTGACCCTCTATCTGAACTCGTTACGCACAGGCAAAAAGCAGTACCGCTCGTGCTCGGCCTTTGCGCCTGTCTCCAACCCGATCAACTGCCCGTGGGGTCAAAAGGCGCTCGGCGAATTCTTGAAGGGTGGCGTCGAGGAAGCCAAAGAACAGTACGATGCTACCGAGCTCATCTCTCAGCTAGGTGGCAAGCCAGTGCACATTCTGATTGACTACGTAAGTTGGTTTTCTTGCTACGGGTCAGCGCGTGTTGTTGAATTTATTTCGGGTATGCAGGGTACCAGCGACAAGTTCTACCAGGAAGGCCAGCTTCTCCCTGAAAACTTCTTGAAGGCTGCTCGCGACGTTGGCTACGACGAAGTTCAGGTCCGCGTCAGAAGCCAGGATGGATATGATCACAGTTACTACTTCGTGGGTAGATCTATCATGCAACCTGGACCATTCGCTGAGTGTTGGTCTCCAGATGTCTACCTTTGGCGCGGACCACATCCACTGTAAGTGTCCTCCGGACTTTACTAGAATCCGGCTCGCTGACCGTTACTCTCTCAGTCCACGCCAACTTCTTGAAGGCATAGAGTAAATTACGCGGAAAGTGATAACAACGAGCTGTACAAACACATCAAGTGCTGGAAGACATGTATCAATCGACAATTTATGTTGTGATATAACTTGACTGTGCCTTGCAATGTTGGAGGACGTGAAAGGCGGCAGAAGCATGGGACGAAAGAACGCAGTCGAAGGAGGGAGCACATCAGCATGCGCCAGAGACCGAGCAGAGAGGTCCAGGTAGATCGAAGAAGGTTCAATCTTTGCCGTCGCCGACTCGTCGCTGATGGACACCAGCAAGCTCTTCCAGATCGCACTGGATCCAAGGGCTTCTGAAAGCGTCGTGTATCGTCCAGCGCAGCGCAGCGTCGTAAGCCAGAAGTCCAAGGCAGAGTGTACGAGCTACTAAGATTGTTAGCATAGTGAAGCCAAATGGCGCACTACGAAACCCGAAAAGTATATCATAACTTACCAGTTTCCAGAGGGTCCCAAAGCTCTGGGGCGAACTCCACCTCATCGTCGACGATCCTTCGTCGGACTCGTCTGTCGTTCCGGACATAACTCATGGACAGCTTTTCTTCCCACGACTTTAACACTAGAGGTTGAGAATCCTCTTCGGACCCGCCAGCAAGCTCGCCGTAGTCGAAAGGATGGTGACCGCTGTCAGGTGGATGAACAGCTGGACGAATAGCATATAGATGTGACGTACGACAGCATGATATAGAGAAGCACTCCCGCACTCCAGCAGTCTGCAGGCATGCCGACATAGCCGAGATCTTTGTTCTCGAGCGCGAGAATGCCTTCCGGTGGCAAGTAAGAAACAGTACCACAGACATTAAAAGTCTCTTCGTAAGACTTGCGCCGGGCCAAACCGAAGTCTGCTATCTGGATGTGCGGATAGGGGCCGGGAGCGTACAGAAGAATGTTCTCGGGCTTATAGTTGCACGCAGCCGATAGGTTAGCATAGACTGCGAACAAGCGCTATAATGTTACCTTCAGATCTAATTGGCGACTCATCAGTATATGGGCCGAAGACATTTTCGTAAGGACATATAGCTCACGCACCGCGATGTGATATACACTTGTCGTGCAGATACTTGAGTCCTAGGATGAGTTGATACATTATATACTTCGTCTCGCCTTCGTAAAGACGACCTGCAGGATCCTTGTGATTTACGATGTACGAAAAGAGGTCGCCACCAGTGCACAGCTGGAGGAAGATGTATCTGGTAGAGTAAGTGACCGTTGACGGTGGACGACACATGCTCAGCCATACAGAAATGTCTCATCATTGTGAACGTCATAGACCCGGTTGATTGACGGCTGGTAGAGTACGTTAGAGCCATCTGATGATGGGGAGAGAACATACGTGGCTAAGCGCAGTGAGTATGCGAACTTCTTTCATTAATTTTTCCATTTTCTGTCCTTTTTTCCTCTTGATGATTTTGCAAGCGACTTGTTTATACGAGGAATGACTGGAGTCCATGCCTAGGTGTACAATCGCAAAGCTACCAGAGCCCAAGCAGTGAGATGTGAGGAGATAGCGGCCGATTTGCTGCAGCTGACGTGAGTACAGCAGAAAAGGCCAGAGAAGATGGCCCTTTGCCTTTGTCTTCAGGACTTCGTCGTCTCGTGGTGTCGGATCGAAGAAATGCACACGCTGAGGAGGTGCACTAAGAGTGTGTGCGCATTCAAATTCTACACGCGTGCGTGTCAGACGCACATACAAGTATCGGTAATTGGGGAACGCACTTCTCGAAGCAATTTGGATAAGATCTCCGTCCATGAGGAGCACCGCCGTCTTCCGTATCCTTATACTATTGATATGTATCCCATTTGATGACAAGTCTTGCAAGGATACCATAATGCTGCCATGACTGGATTGTATGCTGCACAAGTGGCTCAACTAGAAGGCAAAGTAATGAAGAGTCGGAACGCACGCATATATCTTACAGTGTATACCGGAAACAGTATTGTCTGGTATTACGTATGAGCTGGTAATTCCTGTGTAAGTATTGGAGTCAGGCAGAGCTCGTCAGACGCGTACCAAACTGCGGGGTTCCGACCAATAACGAGAGGACAATCGATGCTGAGTAACAAGACTGTCAAGAGGACAAAGGATTCAACATAAATAAAGGCGAGACGTCAGCCACTGCTTACCTTCCTTGCGTCCCTCGAAGACAGTGCATAATTTAGCGCATACAGTCGAGCCCCCTATGCGAGCTGTTTTGTTCTGAGTAGTAGTTACGACAGACTCTGATGGTGATCTGCTGGCGGACGGCATGGTTTTAGTAGCACCCTCAAGGCGCGCCTTAGATTACAGTGAAGGTCGGCAACGACGCGAGGCGTAAAGGAAGGAGGAGAGATAGATCGCGGAGACGCGAGCACGTACCGCTAATATAGCTGTCACGGACGTGACCGTGACTCGCGCGTCAGCCCCGGCAGCGATATGGCAGGAGGGGAAGTCGGTTGGACTCGAAGAAACCTAAAGATACAGTATCACATAAGAGATACATGCAGCCGTTGGCCAGAGACATATCAGTCGTAACCTTTACCACTTCGCTGCTTCACTCGCTTCATCTTCTTATGATGCTTCTTCCCAGGAGCAATCTCCTCTCCTGCACTCGCAAGTACTGAAGCTATCCGCGCCCTCCTACCGCTCAAAGGAGTGCCGTCGTCCGCGATAGCGTTTTGATGAGGGTATAACTTCGACCGTGTAAACTCCTGGCCGCCACGGACGGCGCCGGCAACGAACGGACGTGACGAGAGCGACGCGTTGGAGTTGGTCGCGAAAAATTCCTGGTCTACCCGCTGTGATCTGTGCCCCATCTTGATATTCTGAGCTGGCTGCTGAGAGGCAATAAAGGTGTCCGCCTTCTTGACGACACGGGTTGTAGGGGCACGCTTCTTGTCAGCGAACCTGTACAGGGCTATCCGACGAGTCTCCTCGTTGAACTCGTCCTCTGCCACGCCAAGAGGTGGGTGGCAGTAAAGCAACTTGGCGTTGACGTAATCCTTGAGAATGTGGCGTGCTGCACGCGCTTCATCTGGGTTACCTTGACCAGACCGAGTAAAGCCTCGCGCAACTGACGACACCACCTATCAGAACGTACATCACGTCGTGACTTTTGAGGTACTGACCAGCGTACGAAATGAGCAAGTCTTCTGCGGTAATCCTGCCATCCCCGCCTTCTTCGGCGGTCTTGGGTTTGAAGGTTAAACCATACGTCGCTTCTAAAACGTCCCGGGGGATCCTCTTTACAACCAACGAAGTAGGGCCGGTGTGTTCTCTCAGCTGGTCGATAGGCAAGACACCATCGCAGACAAGATCAGCGCGTGTGGTGGCAAACTGCGGGAAGACGAGACCAGGACAGTCGCACAAGACGAGCGTCGGCGAGAGTTGGATCGTCTGGAAATGCTTAGTCTTGCCAGGTGTCGACGACACGCTGACTTTCTTCTCACCAATAAGCGAGTTGATTGTACTTGATTTACCGACGTTGGGATAACCAACAAGGCCGACAACTAGTTTCGAGGGAGGTTGGCCACTTGAATCGGTGAACTCTACACAATAATCAATATTAGCGGTTGGAATACAATGTACTGCGTGCAAACCTTTGAGGTCTGGGGCTGTCCTGACAAAGAGATCTTCAAGCCCGAGTACGGAGAGTACTCTGGCCCTTGGATCCCGCCCATCCTCAGTATCGTCTTCGCTCATAAGGAGCTGTTCGTCAACATCGGACTCGGAAGAGTAGTCTTGTTCTGAATCAAGCTCTCCCTCAGAGGCAAGGGGAGTATCAGGAGAGGGTGCAGCAGAACGAGACTCTGTGCCGTCATTTGGCTGCTCAGACTCCATGGTGTTGCCCCCCTCGTCATCATCTCTCTGTTGCTGCCACACCTCCTCAGCCGCCTTAGCTTCCTGACGAGCTTGCTCTGCGGCAATGGCGTTCCTTCGTGCCTCTTGCAAAGCCGTGGCATTTGCTGCCGAAAAGAAAGCGTACTGGATACCCTGGGAGTCGAAGTAATCTGCCCACTGCCGCCTATCAGGATGTCAATACAGCGCGACCAAAAAAATGTAGCGACATACCGCTGCTTAGCAGTAAGCAGATCCGACTTATTGATCAAAAGCAAGCTTTTACGCTTGCCCTTGCCCGTGCCTGCCTCGCCCTCCGGACCCTCAACAGCGTGCACGTAACTTTCCAAGTCCTCGCAACGAAACCGAAGAGGATTACGCGCATCGACAATCTGAACAATAAGGTGCGAGCGCTCCAATACTCGCCAAAGCTGCCGCCAGACTTCGATGTTCCGCTCGAACGGCGTAAGAAGAAGGCTGTCGCGCTCTTGGAGCTCCGCAAGACCTCTTCTCCAATCCAAGAAGGCATCCTTTTCTTGACGATCGAGCTGTGCAGTAGTCATGGCCTTCGTCCATGGCGGACGTCTGGGAACACGCAGGCGTTGTTTATTTTCCGCGTGCTTGCGCAGAGTACTCTTTTCCTCTTCATCCGTCAAGAGGTAGGGGTTGTGCTTTGTGCCTACAGGCTGGCTGATGATCTTCACGTTGCGCCTTTCTACAGCAGAATTAGGTAGAGCACAATAATGTAGGCCTATGCACATACCAGCGGTAAACTGGGTTCCAGCAAGCGTTGCAGTACTCAGGAACTCATCTAGGTCCCTCTCCTGGGTGATAGACTGAAGTTGGGTCGTTGAATCTATATCGGTTGTGTACTATAGGGATTTATGAGCGCGCTGATGGCACAGACATCTCACGCGACTCACAAGGCCGGACTCCTGTGCATGTCGTGCATCCTTCACCTTTCTATTTATGATAGCGCGCCCTAAGCCGGTAGGGTTTCGATTTTTCCCTTTAGGAGGCTGTATGTACCAATTTGATTTAGTATCTACATTTAATCCGCCGCCTACAAGCATACCATTTTAGGTGCAAGAGAGACTTCAAAGGAGAGAGAAGGCAAGAGAGGCTTGGAGGAAGATTACGAAGGCACAGTGGACTCGATCACAAATCCATCGTGAGATCTTATGATCTGATGTGCAGCATCGGGATCACGATATTAACGCCCGCACCCTATTGGACAAGCCCTTGAGGGCCGCAGGAAAGCATCTTCGTATATTTGATCAAGCCAAATCTAGCACACATGGTGTATCTTACGCATCATACCCTGTTCAAGCAAGCGCAGAGTCGCGAAGGCTGCCCAGGTTTTCAAGGGAGGTTAGGCTGAACGGCGTCGACCCAGAGGGGCTGGTCAGAACCGTCAGGGTTGGGCGTAACTGAAAGAACATAGGTGGTGTCGAAAGCACCCGCGGCCCAACTACGAGCAATGATCAATACATTATTCAGGAACACGAGCAAAGGGACTTACACAGAGAAGCCAATAAGGTTGGGGTAGGCAGACTTCACGTACGCGAGCTCATTGCTGAGACTGGAAAGGACGGCCATCAATCATATAACAACCACGTATGACCTTGATAGAACTTACAGGGACTCGCAGCTAGCAGTGTTACCGCCGCCGGTCTCACTGAGGATAGCTTGCCTGTTGCCGTTTTGTTGCAGGAACTGGACGAGGGTCTGAAGGACCTGGACGTTGTCCTGGTGCATTTAAGTTGTAAGGGGGAGGCGGATCATAAATATTACCATGAGCACTCACGGTCGTGCAGTCTGGGTGAGTTCCGCTGTTATCGCTGTCGAGGTACTTGTGGACTATGAACAATGTCAGCAATTCAGCAAACCTCACATGAACGCGAGTCGCGTACCATCGAAGACAAGCTTGCTAGTACCGCCGAGAGGGTCAGTGACCAACACAAGAAGAGGTCCGGCCTCGGTAGGGAAAGTTTGCGCCGACGAGTAGCTGCTTCCGGGAAGGAGAAGGTAGTTCTGGGATCCAGCAGCACGGACGGCATTGACGACTCCCTGCACGGAGTTGACCCAGGTAGAAATGGAGTTGAGATCATGCGGCTCGTTCATGATACCTGAACCAGCATGAGACTTGGTAGACGATGTTACTCCACGCGCTTACCAAAAATGATACGCTCGTTGCTGCCGTACTTCTGGGCAAGCTGCGTCCAGATGCTCTGGAATTGAGCATCAGTAGGTCCACCTTGAGCAATGATGCCGCCATTCCATCGAGCATAGTTGTGCTATAAAAGCCCCGTTAGTCCTGCTTTCAAGAACGACCATCTGATTACGTACTAGATCGACGATAACGTAGACGTTCGGTCCAGAGCTCAGTGCAGCTTGCACAGTCTGGTCATATTCAGAGAAGAAACCCGAGTCGATGGATCCACCCAGGGTGGGAGTCATGAGCTGCCAAGCTGTACGTACACGTCAAAAGGGATGTCAAGCAAATGACCTCTGCCGTCTTACCAAAAGCTGCGGAGAAACAATGAGATGCCAAAATATAGAATCTATGATCGTTAGCTTACGAATACGATAGAGGTTTGCGCCCTCCGCTGTGAAGTGAGGATACTGAGAGACAGGAGGCGAGACACCAGTTCCGGAGAAGCTGCCGTTAGTAGCCTATTACATGGCGTAAGTAGTTGGGTGCCGACAGTAGTCAAACCGGCGACTTACGACACTGAAATCATAGCCTGAGGTGTTGACTCCTCCGAGACGGGGAAGAGAGCCGGCAGGAGTGCTCGGAGCGGATGGCGCGGTCGAGGAGGTGCTAGAAGGGCCAGCAGGAGCAGTTCCGGGCAAACACTGGGAGTAATCTGGAACGCCTAGTTAATTTCACTGATGGTAAGCTACTCTTTAGGACGCACAGTCGTTCATAACGGTGCAGACCGTCCCAGAGACGCAGGCAGTCGCGCCAGCTATCAACGGATCACGATATTAGCACGCTGGCCGCAAAGCGACGGTGAAGATGACAATCACCCCAACCAATACCACCGCACTGCTGCCATTCCTGTAAATATGTCTTTCTTTTAGCATAGTCCACATATAAGACGATATACCAGTACTGGCCTGCTGCTGAGCCACACCAAGTGCAGCCAAGGCGAGGGCGATCGACGCGTACTTGAGCATCTCGACGAGCTTTCAGTTGTACCGAGGAGGTCCTGTGATAACCACAAGCAAGTACTGTACGCCTTTTTATAGCGGCATGCTCAGCGCAGGCAGCCCAGAAGACCGGTTTGTACGGATAAACGGCGGGGCATGACCCCGCAAGAGATCAGAGTTGCACACGACAGAATTAACGTAGAGAGGTGGTCGAGCTCATGTGGACGCTGTCGACATTTTCAAGAGGGGAGACACAAAGTTCTCCGTGATCCTTCGCATAGGTGCACGGCTAGAAAAAACCTCGGCTGGGGATGCGGAGAATTTTGGGGTGAATAGTGGCAATTAGCTGTCGAGATAAGCTCTCGGGACCAGTTCACCTTGCCGAAAGATGTGCATGACATGGCTGAATTGGCCACAGAAGCCATGATCGCGGTTCCAGTGCAAAGTGCGGGGTAAGCGCTGTGTCATGAGTTCCTCCGAGACGCGACTTCTCAGAGACCTCTTACGCCTCTCTCTTGGCCTCCAACACCGACTGTCGCGCGTGTCTCGCCACTTGCGTCCTATTCGTGATCAAAGTGTCCTATGAGCAACCTGATTTCGCCGACAGCAACAGCATTCTCCTTGTACAAGTCATGTCTGCGGCAAATCAGACTGCTTCCATCTGAGTATCTTCGGTAAGTAGACCACTCGCTGCCATTTCTCCACTCGGGATCATCTCTGTTGTCAGCCAATTCTTCCGAGTCAGAGTTAAGGATGATGTGTGCACCGTGTTGGAGCGGTCTCGCCGTCCGAGACTGCAGAAGAAGCGAATAAAGTTGCTCGAATGGGTATGGGACCGCATGGCTTAGTGCGCCGCTTGGCTGCTTACAGGTGTTCTAGACGGCGAGAAAGCTCCACGCTGCCAACAAAGGGGATTACATAGCCTTTGACCATATACTGGATAATGCGTATGGCCGGCGAGGGAAACTGAGGAAAGAGCTAACGGAGGTATCGGACGAATTCACTCCTTTATGGTCGTAGTCTCATGTTAACTTATTTTTGCTTTCTAGCCTCTATTGAGTGACCCAGCAGCTCCTCCGCCAAAGCTTATTATTCCTGGTGTCGAGAAGTCTCGCCCGCCGGTATACTCCCGAGAAATGGCGGCTCTATTAGCTGTCCCGGTTACCCGCTCGAGCGGTGGACGTGTCCTCTCTACCCGAATTGATTGGCCTCCTAAGCTACCTGAAAGGGCAAACCCAGAATCGGAAGATGCGAAGTTTTGGGGCCCATTCAGCAAACGACGAGAGGTCAATGCACGCTGGGAATTCTTCCAGTCTGAGGTGAAGAAGCTATTTCCACCATTGCAGGTTCTTGTTGAAGAACAATTACTATCTGGCCCGAAAATCTCAGCCGAACCTAAGAAAGACCTCGCTAGTCTCAAGCATTACGACGTCCGCCCACTGCCCTTGCAAGATCGGGGCGTTTTTGAGGAAGCCGAGGCGTTAGCTGGCCCACCATCTAGGATCAGGAGCTTAACTCGGAAAGAGAAGAAAGCCCTCGCGGGAGGCCAGCAGATGGTCCATGCGTCCCAGCTGCCTACACCTGCAAGTCCCATCCTTCACTCCAGATTTGTCCGACGACGCTACAAGACGCTCTTGAGTCGCATACCCATCCTCACGCACACGTTCATTAAAGACAAGAACGGCGGGCAGAGGGGAGAAAAGTATAGCGTCTCCTTTGCTCCGGCGGCAATGGCAAACCACACACGATCTGCTACTTTCAGGTCCCCGAAAGCCGATCCGTCAGATTTGGAGTGGCTGGCACATGTTGAGGCTCAAAAGAAAAATCCCATAGAGAGAGCAGCGCGATAGCAGATGTCTAGGCAAAACAGGGTAACTAGATAACATCCGTAATAAATAATCCCGGATAACATATCTTATAACCCCCATCCGACTTAGGTATCACTGCTCTGGGAGTTCTCCAACTCAAGCCCATGCAGCTCGATCATGTACATGCTATAGTTGCGATCAGTTGCGTGAGCAGCTGCAGATTCTCCCTGTGTAGGATCCACGCCACAGAGTAGGTCGAGAATCGTCTTGTACTCGTCGAACGAGAACTCCTGCTTCGCACGAATGGCATCCAAGAGATCCTATAGCGCGTGTTCATCAGTTTACCGGGCTTTAAGCCAAAGAAGAAAATACACACCGAAGGCGACTTTGTGAACAGGGCGTAGTAGCGCTTGGCACGGTCGAACTCGACTTGCAGCCCCTCCGCTATGATCTTAATGTTTTGCTGGAGGGCAAGAACGTTGCGAAACATCTTCTTGATGCCATTCTGATTTATAGCGCGAATATGTCTCGCGTTCGAGATGAGCAGGCTCTCCATAAGCTGATCAATACCCTCGAAGACAAATCTAGCACACGTTGGATGAAGGATAGTCTTGGGCGAGTGAAGTAGAAACGTACTTTCTCTCCTTCGGAGGAAGTGTGCTCGAAGTGTAATCGTCACATTTGACAAGCTCTACGTTGAGATCCACAATATGAGGGTCTGGCTCAGACGCCTCTTGATCGATGTGGTAGTTGCCCTGTAAGCGATGAGTGGCTGAACACAGTACAGTCGACGGCGACTTACACTGCGCAGAGCAAGATCCAAATGATGCCACACTCGACATCGTACGTCGGCTCGTACAGTATGCAGGATAGATTCAGACAGCTGCTCATACGTCTTCTGCAAAGATTGGAAGCGCCTATCGCAGCGTGAATTCGATGACGGCCTTTAAATCAAGTGAACACTGACATAGCCATAGCGGTAGACAGCGGTAGTTGCAGCGGCTCGCTCGCCTGCTCCGCGAAGGCAGGTGGATAAGGGGTCCAGGGTGACACCGCACCCAAAGGCTCCGGCTTCTGAGGCGATGTCGGAGATAATGACCCCTCTGGAGAAGATTTGAGGCCACCCAGTTCGGTGCAGAACCACGTCTGCGATCAATGAGCAGAGGTAAACAGTTACAACACAGGCAAGGACACTTACCACACTATGGTATAAGGTTGTCAAGGTAGCGAGGTCTCGGGTAGTTCGCACGAGCTGGATCTTGCCCACTGTCCTTTCGCCTAGCAGACTACCCTCTAGATGAGTTTGCTGTCTGCACAGCTGAGCTCTCTTGTTCGCCGCATTCGGATCCTCTATGATACTGAAGAGCCCCGCGAGACATGCTGTAAGCTCTGACCGCTGGGTCCACTGAGCAGCGAGCGACAAGTACGGAAGAGTATCGCTGTTTTCGCTGTCTTTGATGGACACAAGGTCTTGGAACTTATCACTGCAGCGCTGATAGAACTGCCCGATAACGGTCAAGATCAGCCTAGAGTAACTTTCCCTATGAAACGGGGTTGTCCACAGCATTGAGCAAAGCGAGTTAATGAGAGCCATGAGCTGGACCGCCGCCTGGAGATCGGAGGTCAAACATTGAAATATTCTAGAACGCGCGTTTGTGACGCACCTTCATAAGCGGCTTAGACGAGATGCTTGTAGAGACGGAATCCGGTTGGAAAGCGTCGGAACCTAGATTACCGTTAACACACTACTATACCATGCCGATGATGAAGGCATACTGGTGACAGCCTGATGGAACAGTTCCGATACCTTATCTTCCAGCTGCGGCAGATATACCTTGAGGACGAATTCATCGAGTACGTTGCTCGAAGCGCGGACAGCCTCCTTCCCCTCCGGCAGGACTTCAGCAATGCGATCCATAAACGCCAAGGTAGGCTGGAATAGCACGCTGACATGGAATGCATCAGGGTGGACGAGAAGCCGATGGTGGTTTCCGCTCCCGAGCAGCCGGTCATCCTGGCCCACTGCAGATAAAGTCGCCTGCACCGCGTTCTCCGTGGATCCTTGCACCAAACCCGGCACAGTGTCTTTCAGAACGCGTGTAAGCTCGTCTTCATGTGCCCTCAGATACTTGTTCGCCAGTTTCAGATCAGCATCTGCGAAACGGAAGACGGGCTTGGTTTTGTCGCGGTAGTGCTTGCCCTCACGGAGAACCTCGTTGATAGAAGAGATAGGATTGCGGCCAGACACAACGCCCTGCTCCTCGTCCGTAATGTAGTCGTTCAGTAGAGTTCGCACCTAGATAAATATGTCAGAAAGTGGTCTCCATTTTGCCCTCGTTGTATGTGCCTACTTCGGCCTGAATTGGTGACCATATTTCGGCCAACGGGAATAAAGAACCTGGCTTTGTGCCCGACGTATCCCTGAAGTCTCTCCTCTACGACAATGATGAGAGGTACGTCGAATATTCATCGAAGGGACTCACCGATCCAATACGGTTCGACACTTCGTAGATCACTCGCAAACCCTGCGCAACGGCATCCAATTTCGAGTACAGCGTCCAGAAAACATCCTTCATAATCTCCTGATCTGCACGTTTCGTCGACATCTCAAGTGCCGCGAGTCGCAGAGACTGCGTGGGAAGTAGTTGTCCGTGTACCCCAGGTCGGACGCCCATGTACGACAGGCCAGAGATTCCCGAGCCTGTGTGGAAATAGACATCGCTCGGCCTACTGGCGTTAGCGGCGCCACTCGGCCCCAGGATGGATACTCGCCGGCCGTATTCAGCACGTTCGGCGACTTCGTCCAAAGTCGTTTCCACGAGAGCATATATTTCTTGGGGCAGCCTTTGAGCGACAATGTCTAGGGCAAGACCAAGCTTGCCCAGCACTGCTAGAGCTTCCAGGAGGGTCTCTATGTATGCAAAAGAATCTGCTTCAGGATTCCGATTCGACTGCGCAGCGCTATGACTGGCTGCAGCAGCAAGCGAGGGCGCAGCAAGGCTCGACAAGGATGCCATGGACTGTCCCGCCGACAAACCCAGGGACATGCTGGCAGATGCTTGTAAGATTGAGCCTGAGCCGCCGTCAAGATGATTCTGCTCATTAAGATCGAACGGCGGTTCGTTGGGACGGAGATTGAGCTCGTCCAAGTATCGGCTAAGGCGAGTAGAGCGTGAGGTGTGCGTAATCGGCGTGCTTGGAGCGGAAGCTTTGAGTGGATCCATAGGGGCGCTGTCCTCTTCGAACTCAACCTTCTGGACTGGCTGAACGTAAATGACGAGTTTAAGACCATTTGCCGCATACGTACAGATCTGCTGTCCGGGCTCGTATACCGACCAACGCGATTCGCACCAGAAAGACCTTAGGTATAGATGACTGTGCAGCTCGTCGACGAGGATTTCTCTCAAAGCCTGACATGTTGAGATGATCATGCCAAGACAATAGTGAACGGACATACTGTTTCTTGGGCATTCAGGTAGCTTCGTAAATCCGCCAATGCACCAATATCCATCATATCTTGCTTGTGAATCAGCTTCAGACTCCTTACAAGTAGCACAGCGGCCTGTAGAAGTCGCTTCTCGGAAATCAAGCTCTCCAGAGCGTCTGGCACCGAACGAAGGTGCTCACTTAATGATCAATTCAGAGTTTCGGCAGACGACCGCTCGTTCAAGAACGTACATTTTATCCAAGATGCGTAGCATTTCCTCAAGCGTCTGGTTCCTTGACCAGAGTTGCACTAAATCGCCTCGCTTGTTGCCCAGACCTTCCTTCGCCTCTTGGAGCGCAGACCTGGCTTCGGATATTTGTGTCTGAATGCCGCTGAGATGATTTAACAGAGAGGCGTGGTGCGAAAGGGATGAATTGAAGGCTTGGTAGTGCTCTGGTATAATATGGTAAGGCTTACGCCTTCGAAAGCATGTAGCAGGGACATACTATCAACGGAGCCTTTGAGGGCTTTTGATAACATATTCTTAGTTTGGCGGAAAGAAGCCATATCCCTCCCTTGCGCCAGCTCGCGGGAATCATCCAGGAGCTGTAAGGCTAGGTCTACGGGATTGAACTTCAACAAGTTTGATATCTGTGCGCCACAGGAATGGAGTGTTCATGCTCACGTTAGGATTTGTTACAATTTCCCACTCGTCTTTGATTTCGTTCAAGATGGCTTGTATGAGTAGAATATGAGCAATGTCGCATCAGCAAATATTGAAAGCAATACTCACCGTCAATATCTCCTGCTCGAGGCTTGTGGGCCTTCATACCAGGTACCCTCTCGCGAATCCTCCTCTGGCGGTCCATCAGGATGGCAGCCTCGCGTGCTCTCTCCTTCTCATATTCGGCATCTAACATATCGTCTTCGCTCATGCCCCGCCGTCGCGCTATAGCGCTTTGGAACATTGCTAAGGCAGCGGCCTCCGAGGGTGAGAGCTCCGTCCCCGCTGACGACGGCGTGATAGGACTCAGGTGATTGCTGGCCGGTAGTTGCGCGCTGGTTGGTGACGTCGACAGAACAGCCCGGGGAGGTCGTGTGGGGGGCTGGGAAGCGTCCGAGCGAATAGTGCCTGAACTGTCTCGGTGGTCGCCACTAAGCGCATCGAATGAAAGTCTCTCTAAGCCAGAAAGTTCGGAAAGGTTTCTCCCTCTCAGACCAGATCTTGCTGGTCGGGTAGGAACAGGCGGTGTTGCACTAGATGAACCGGGTAGCGGTGTGATTCGGCTACTAGGCGTCGTTGGGCGTGAGTGAGGCCTGCTTATCTGCAGGGGCCGAGTCGTGTTTGGCGGGGTCGGTCCATCGTCATGAAAATTACCGTTCGGCGTCTGCGGGCGTCGCGCAGTGGGATAGGGAGGAACGCGAGACATATGGTCGCCGTTAAATAACAAGCCCCGCGGTCGCGGAGTGTCACGGTGAGCTCGAGGCTCGAGGGCGGTACGCACTGCCAAATCGACCTCTTCCCGAAATGATTAGCGCCGGTACGACGCGCCTTCGTTCGAGTTACGAGAGGGTGACCCGTGCTACGCACGGGCAGAGCGAATTGAGAAAAGAGATTGAGAGAAGAATTCAGAAGAGAATTAAGAGAAATCGAACGAGAAATGAGAGGAACGCGCCGCCCGCCGCCAACCTTCGGTTGGCTGGGCGTGCAGCGCCCCTGTGAGAGGCGCCTCGTGAGAGGGGATCACTGGCCAATGAGAGTGCCTCTTTGTCTCGGGGATTTGACGCCCGAGGTGTTTTATTATATTACGAGAGGGTGACCCGTGCTACGCACGGGCAGAGCGAATTGAGAAAAGAGATTGAGAGAAGAATTCAGAAGAGAATTGAGAGAAATCGAATGAGAAATGAGAGAAATCGAATGAGAAATGAGAGAAATCGAATGAGAAATGAGAGAAATCGAATGAGAAATGAGAGAAATCGAATGAGAAATGAGAGAAATGAATGAGAAATGAGAGAAATGAATGAGAAATGAGAGAATGGAAATGAGAAATGAGAGAAA